GTAAAAATGATAACCGTCGCCGATAGGATTCGAACCTATGCGGGGAGACCCCAATGGATTTCTAGTCCATCGCCTTAACCACTCGTCCACGACGACTTGTGAATTGCGGTCGCAATTGCGTAAGTGGTCGTACGAGCGCCTTTACACAACTGACACAGTGGTCTTAATTGCAGGTTTCATCGAAAAATGGAAAAAGGTTTCCGAGCTTGCCAGGATTCGAACCTGGAATCTCCTGATCCGTAGTCAGGCGCGTTATCCATTGCGCCACAAGCCCTAACACAAGCGCCAGTTGTCCTTTGTGATCTCTTACCGGGACCTCTGAAATGGTATCTGTTTTTTTTGGCGGCAAGATTCCTTGCAACGGTACTACATGCCCGGCTAGCTCAGTCGGTAGAGCACGAGACTCTTAATCTCGGGGTCGTGGGTTCGAGCCCCACGTTGGGCGATGTTATTTTTCCTGTCGTAATCAAACTTTTTTGAAAATTTCTGTGCCCTACAACTCTCAGAGTGCTGACAAGCAAACATTTTAACGAATTGGAGTAACCTGGTTTCGTGGTGTAGTGGTTATCACGTCTGCTTAACACGCAGAAGGTCACGAGTTCGAGCCTCGTCGAAACCTCGGATTATTTTATTTTTTGACCATTTTTCAAAACTAGGATATAAAATATGCTGTGTGTGCTTGATATAATTCTTCAGTTGTCTAACACAATTGCAGTGCATGGTTCGATTTAAGGATGAATCCCGCTACCATCAGGACGTATCTTGTCGGGGGTGTAGCTCAAATGGTAGAGCGCTCGCTTTGGCTTCCGGTTGAATATTCGGACTGACAAGCCGTGTTTACTTCGCGTCCGGGACTCAATCAACCGTGGAAATGATTTCTTGTATAAACACTGTCACTCATCGAAACTTGTACTGACTAATCCATCAAAATGGAAATGTTTAATGTGAATACTACTGATATTAAAAGAAATACTATTAATGTGGAACTATACCAAGGATTAAAAATTGTGGATATTATAGATGAAATTGAAGATATTGTTGGCGAAAACTCAGTGATTGCCGCCTGCCCAACAACAGGTAACGTTGAAATAACCTTTGATAATCATGAACGCTTAAAACATCTCCTAAACAAACCTATAGTTGTCCATGACAAAGTTCTCTCATATAATTTAATTGGATCCAAAATAATGGTCGTATCATTTATGAATATTCCATGCTATATCCCCGATAACGAAATTTTAACTAAACTTGCACAATGGAATGTAAAACCACTTGGCAACATCAGACATAGGACAATACGATACAAGGATAGAAACATACCAGATGGAACCCGCTTTATTAAATGTGAATTCCCCCCTGAAGTAACAAGCCTCCCCTATGCAACATTTTTTGATGGCAGATCATTCACTATAAAACATAATAACCAACAAAAAGTGTGTTTCGAATGCTTTAAACCCGGTCATGATATTAAGGACTGCCCAGTCACGATATGCAGAAGGTGCAAACAATCGGGCCACATAAAAAAGTTTTGCATTGAAGAAATCTGTGACGACTGTACCGAATTTAATTACAAGTGCTTATGTAAGACAGAGATTATAACAACAAAAGAAAATGAAAACTCGCTCAGTGACCAAACTCAAGCCAAATTTCTACCTGACCAGGTCAATAACAACTCAATGAACTTAACTCAAAACGAATCACTAAATATCGATCTGTTTCAACCAACTAGAGAATCTACCCCACTTACCCTCAGAGAAACTACTAGTAAACCCCTAAGATCCAAACCCGTGAAAAGAAACCAAACGGAAACTGTGACACCCCCAAAAAGCGAAAATAAAAAAGTTAACTATCAAACCAAAGAAGCTAACTCTATGCTTATCATTTCTGACACAGAAACTCCCTCCCCCGAAGATGAATCAGAACCCGAACCCGACAATGCTATCTCAACCAATATAAAAGAAACTGACACCACTGTACAAAGTGAAAATCAATCTCGCCTTACAAAGCTCAATAAATCCATCCAATCTGTAGACAATCTTGATAATGTCATAACTAAACGCGAATCCAGGAAAACAGAACTCTTGAATTTTGTCCACAACAAACGCGATTTCTCGCGATCCCTCTCACGAGACAGACTGAGATCCAGATTCCCCACGACGCCCATCAGACCAAACTTAAGCCCCGCTAGAAAGAGCACGAGCTCATATTTTAAAGATAAAGAAAATCTGGTATAATTCCCTACTCCTAACTTCTAAACCTCAACATGAAACTTGTGTCACTAAACACAAACGGTTTGAAAAACCCCGAGAAAATTACGCATCTGTGCTCCCTATTCATTCTTTTAAATTTTGATATTGTGCTGTTGCAGGAAACCTTCTGGGATACAGAGACAGTGAAAGTGTGTAAAACCGAGTGGAAGGGCGATATTGTTTATAGCAATTCTTCCGACGGTAGAAAAGGTGTAGCTATTCTGATAAGTCCGAAATTTAGCAAATTAATTAACAGCGAAAGCACTGACGGGGAAGGTAGAATTGCTAAAATCAATATCACTCTTCAAGACAAAATTATAGATATTTTTTCAATATATGCCCCCAACAATTATAAAGACAGAATTTTATTTTTCAAATTTCTTTCAGATGATTTTGTAGATATTTCCAACCAATGTATTGTTGGTGGCGATTTTAATGAAGTTTTAGATAAAAATTTAGATAGAGGTAAAAATATGCACACGGTCACAGTAAGCTCTAACTATTTTAATAAATTTATTGCCGATAACAACTTGATTGATTCCTACAGGTACATTAATCCGAATAAGAGACAGTTCACTAGAACACAAATTCGCGATGGCTCTCCTAAGCTCAGCAGATTAGATTACATTTTAATTAGCACTTCTTTAAGCAACAACTGCAAATACTCTTATATCCAGCCAACTTCATCCTTTGTATCTGATCATAACTTCATGATATGCATTTTGTCTTTCAATTCATACGAGAGAGGTCCTGGACTCTGGATATTCAATAATCAGCTATTAAAGAATATTGACTATGTACATTTAATTAATGATATTATATCTCGTCAGGATGGAAACCAACTGTTCCAAGAAGCCCCTCTTCTCTGGTGGGATAGTCTGAAGTACTACATCAAGAAAGAGACAATAGGATATGCTAAAGTGAAAGCCCAAAAAGAGAAGAGAGACTTCTGGACCACTTGTAACCAACTTATGCAAGAACAACTAAGAGCAAGTAATAACTTAAATTTTAATGAAAAT